GTCCACTGCCAGAAAAGCCGCAGGCTCCCGAGCCAGGGTGGTAGGGGGCCAAGGGCCCCAGCCACGCTGCCCCGACATCTGTATCTAGCCCAGCCACAACCTCCAGGCCACCGCCAGAAGCGTGGGCTCCCAAGCTGGAATGGGGGACGCCAAGGGCCTCAGCCACATCCCCTGACATACACATCCAGCCAACCATGACTGAGCTGCCACTGGAAGCCCCTGGGCTCCTCTGCCAGAATGAAGGGGGGTGACATGGCCTTGACTATGCCCCCTCCCCCCGTCCTCATCCTCCCTTCCTATCCACCTCCCCCTTCTTCTCTCCCCCTCCACCCCAACTACTCCACAAAATCCTAGAATGTAAAAAATAATAATAATAATTTCTAAAGTAAATAAGTATATAAGAATCTTGTGCACCCACATGTGCGCATAAACTCCAAACTTCCAATTGACTTTTTAGTATCTCAATCTTAAACAAAAAACCAAGGTTCATTAGACATTCAAGAATAACAAAATGAGGAAATCATTCAACACAAAGACCACACAAAACAGGTGAACTAAATAAAGGAACAAGAGGTAAACAGACAATGAAAGGAGCAGAAGAACTCTGCAATTAATAATCTTCAAAAGAAAAATAATATATTCATGAAACAAAAACAGAAGGCAATAAAAAGTAGAACCAGAAAAGACTGTTAAAAATTATAAACAAGAGAGCAGAAAAAATAAATAAATAGAAAATTTTGAAAATAATTGAAGAAATTTCCCAGAATGTAAAACCAAAAGATAAAGATTGGATATCAGGACAGAAAAGAAGAGTCACTGACACTGGATTTCAGTACAATTCAAATGCCAAGTAACAAGAAATTATAAAGAGAACATAGAAAACAGAAAGGAAGAATTACAAAAACAATAATAAAAAGAAATTTCCTAAACTGATAAGCCCAAATCTTAGGATTAAAAGGGCCCACCAATAAATGAAAAAAGATCCAGACATCATCACAAAATTTCACAGCGGCAGGGGTGGGTGGTGGGAATGTCAAAGTACATAAATTTACATACAAGTAATCAGAAATCAAAATGGAATCAGGCTTCTCAAGAGCAACTCTGGATGCTAAAAGATAATGTAGCAATACCTTCAAAATCCTGATGAGAAATTATTCCCAACCTTGAAAGGTAAAGGCAAATTTCACTCTAGTGTGATAATATAATAAAGACATTTTTACACAACCTAGAACTCAAAAAATTTACCTCTGTTAATGTATAAAGATATAATTTGTATGACAATATAGCACAATGGCAGGAAGAGGGAACAGCGCATATGGGAGCAAAGCTTTTGTGTACTCTTGAAAATAACATGTTAATCCCAACTAGACTGTTTTAAAATAAAATGGTAATTGTAATTCCCAGGAAAACCACTAGGAAAATAACTCAAAAAAGTAGGAAAGTAAACAGCAAAGGAATTAAAATGGTACCCAAGACAGTATCTGTTTAACACAAAGAAGGCAATAACAACGGGGATATATTCTAAGATCCCCCCCACCAAGTCAATGCCTGAAACACCAACAGTACCGAATTCTATACATACTACTTTTTTCCCCATAAATACATACCTATGATAAAGTTTAATTCATAAATTAGGCACAGTAAGAGATTAACAACAATAATAATAAAATAGAACAATTATAACAATATACTGTAATAAAAGTTATGTGAATATAGTCTCTCTCTAAATATCTTACTGTATTGTACTCATCCTTCTTCCCGTGATGATGAGATAATAAAATGCCTATGTGATGAGAGGAAGTGAGGTGAATGACACAGGCATTGTGACTTGTGACGTAGTGTTAGGCTACTACTGACCTTCTGATCATCATCTATTTTGGGTGATCGTGGATCATAGAGCCATGACAATGGTTAAGAATTTTCAATGGTTGAAGGGATTTTTGCCAAAACCTTTTGAAAGAACACTATAATTGGAAGTTGTTGTCTCTTTCCTTATAACTAATTAAACTGTTGCTGCAGAGGTTGTAATCCTTCAGTAATCACACAGGTGACTTTAATGCTTCATTCCATCTCATGATCGTATTCCATAATTTTGTCTAATGTCTGCAATTCAAAACACTGGCAAATTTCAGTAATGTCCACATTACTGGTTCTGCTTCAGTTTCTTCTTCTACATCTTCCTCTTCCTCTGTAGACCACTCCACAAGTTCTTCCAATTCCTCATTTACTAACACTTCTCAATGGCCTTCAATATGTTCTTCCACTTCTTCACCAAGCAAATCCTTCTCCACCAACTATTCTTGCCACGTGAATGATTTTCCTAACTTCTCCATTGATCCCAGGGGAAGCCTTTAAAATCATTCATAACTTCACTCCATAAGTTCTTCTAGCAGGCATTTATAGTTTCTGCTTTTAATTCATCTATTGCAACTTTGATGAATGCTACTGCATCAGCAATAGTGAATTGTTTCCAGATTAGGGTTTGCATCAATTGCTGATCAAATGCAATCAAATACCAGGCAGATAGGTGTATGTGGCCTTGAAAAACCAAATGATGCCCTGGTTAAGGGTCTAAAGCAATGAGGTTGTATTTGGAGATAAAAATACAGCCTCGACATCTTCATTTTCACAGCAAACAGAATCATTGCCTATTATTAATAGGACTTTAAATTTCAACTCCTCCTCTTCCAAGTATTTTTTCACCTCTGGGATGAAGCATTGGTGAAACCATTCCATAAACAAGACAGCTGTCACTCATGCTTTCTGACTATATTGCCAGAACACAGGCAGGTATTTTTTGTTTTTGTTTGAGAGTGCCTGGGTTCTTTGCTCTGTACACAATGCCTGTCTTTATCATATGCCCTGCAGCACTGCCACATAGTACCAGAGTTAATCTGTCCTTCCATGTTTTATGCCCTGGTGCCGCCTCTGCATTATTATGAATGTAGGTTCTACTTGACATTTTCTTTGAGAAGAGCACAGTTTCATCACAACTGAAGACTTCCTTTGGACGATATTCTTTCCTGTTAATCAACTTCTTCAACTCTGCTGGAAATGTGTCAGCACTTTCTTCATTAGCAGACATAGCTTCTCCAGTTACATTTTTCCATCTGAACCTATTCCTGAATTTCTGTAACTATCTCATACTACAGTAAACAGCTTGGTATAAATCGTTTCAGGAGATCCCTTGCCAAAACGTGGAAATAATCCAAATGTCCATCAAGTGCTGAATAGATAAATAAATTATTCAGCAATTAAAAGGAATAAAGTACTGATTCATGCTATAACATGGATGAAACTTTAAAATATTATGCTAAGTGAAAGAAGCCAGGCACAAAAGACCACATATTGTATGGCTCTATTATATGAAATGCCCAGAATAGGCAAATCCACAGACAGAAAGTAGATCAGCAGTTGCCAAGGATTGGGGAAGGGAAGAATGGAGAGTGACTATTAATGGGTATAGAGTTTCATTTTTAGGGCAATAAAAATGTTCTAAAATTAGATAGAGGTGATGGTTGCACAACTCGTAATTATAATAAAAACTAATCAATTGTACATTTTAAAAGGGTTGGGCCGGCCCGGTGGTGCACTGCTACAGTGCGCCGCTTGGGAGCGCGGTGGCGCTCCCGCCGAGGGTTCGGATCCCACATACAGACCGGTTCCCGCTCACTGGCTGAGCGAGGTATGGGAGCAACACCGAGGGTTGCGATCCTGTTGCCGGTCCTGGTCCGGGCGCGACACTGAGGGTTGCGATCCGTTGCCGGACATGAAAAAAGACAAAAAGGAAAAAAAAAAAAAAAGGGTAAATTTCAAGATATGTAAATTATATCTCAGTAAATCTATCATAAGAAATTATACATGACAATATGTTAAGATACTCTAGAACAAAAAATATATCTTCTCAAGGACACTTTTCTCTGTGACCTAATAAAAATCAGTAATTTCAACAACAGCAAAAAAATAGTTTCTAATATGAAAGGATAAATTAACTATAATTGATAAGAGCAGTAAGGGACTTCACCAAGTATCAAAGTAAAAGCAAAGTGCAAGATACAATGGTTTGGGTCAGGCGGACTTGCACAGGTAGATGGTATTTGGAAACCTCATGGGCCTCTTATAATAAGTAAATGAGAGAAACTATAGAAAGTGCCTCCCTAGCACATAATAGACACTAAATATCTACTAAATGTTTCTTCATTTCCCTTCATGCAGCCTCTTTCCCCCAACTCATATAATCCATAGTGTTCCTTCCTACAGTGGGCATTTCTTCTACTTGTCAGACAGAACAATGTCTTTCACCCATTCCAACTTCTACTTTTTTATTTTATTTAGCCTCAAGCCCCTCATTCCATACCAAAATAGAGCCTCAACCAGTCCTACTACCATCTGACTGCTCTAAATCTTCCAAAACAGAATTTTTCTACTTTCCCACTGCATCAGAGATCCACCTGAAAGACAAAAATTCTATTTCCACCCACAACATTTATCCCTGCTAAATATGTCCTTACTTTTCCTGTTTTATATAATTACAATCTGTAAATCATTCACATTTGTATGCAAAACTATTTTTTAAAACTGTTCAGATAGATTTTACTGACAATTGACTTAAAGTATTACCTCCTCTCAACTTCACTACTGCAAATAAGTAACTATCACTTGTTTGTTTTCTTTAATTCAGTGTTAGATTTAAAACTGTGGCCTGCAAAATTCTGGTTAAAGATGAACTTTTATAAACTAAACCTTTTTGTGCTTTAATAAACCACATATTTAATAAAGCAACTAAATGTGAGGCTCTGTTACTGAAGAACCTCTTTTCCTCTAGTCACAGAGGAGGAAAGGTTCACTGTTGTGCAAAACCATTAACTACTCTTTTACACAGGTGCTAAGAAAGGGAATGTACAAACAATGTAACTCCACACATTAGTACCAGCATTTATAGGCAAAAAGGAGGGATGAATGGTGAAAACAATTGGAAATGACTATAAAAATATACTTACAGCCTCGAACTGCAAATGGCTATCCTTTAAAAAACTTTGAACTTTATCCTTGGGTAAAATATTGAATCGAAATCGAAGGAGATCCATTTCTTGTTGAATAAACCAGCGTCTAAGATCTTCTCTACAATGTAGAAAGGGAAATTATCAGTATAAATTAAAAATCAAATGATTATTAAATCTAAGAAATTTTTATGAAACAGTATTCAAACACGAGCAAGATGCCAATAGACTACAATTAAAAGCATATAGGTCCTCTATTATGATAAATAAAATATGAATACCACATACAACAATCTTCCAGGGATGTGTTGGATAAGAGATAGAGGGGTGTTATGAACATAAAAACAAAAGGGTTAAACACAGAATACTTCAAGCCTAGCTGCATTATTATCAAATAACACAAAAGAAAATAGTCAATTGCATTTAATGTAACTGCAAAATAGAAATTTACATTAGAAAATGGAGTACTCCTTTGGTCTGAGATGGTTTCATCAATGCCAAATAAACACCAAATTTTTAAAAAGTAACTTTATCTCTGAAAATATTATGATCAGATGAACTTTGCAAATTAAACTTTGCTTATAGCTTTACAGTTTATAATTTTGCAAAATTTAATATGCACAAGTACATCTCAATATTTAAAAACTAATATAAAAATATATTGATTTATAAAGCTGATACCTAATGAGTATTACTGTTATATTATAAAATAATTACCCTATTACATTTAAAATATGATTTTATTTTATTTGAGGTGACTTTCACAGATTGTCAATAACTAATTTACTATATAAACTGCATAAACTACTAAAGAAAAACTCTAGGACCAAAGCTGGTAGGTAATTTCTCAATTATTATCTTGGGATAGTATGCAATTCAAGATTCTCACTTAATAAGCCTATTAATAAAAGAAACAACCATAACTATATTACTTGGCCAAAATTAATATAGGGGAAAAATTGTTTAAAAACAAAAAGCAACTAACTCCTTCTCCCTCTGGGTGGCACTACTGATTTATAAGAAACCAACTACCAACAGAAGGGTCTTAGATCTTATAGGCCCATACATCTCAAATACTAAAAACCAGTATCAAATTCACATATGTGTCTGATTCATTGTTTCTTATAAATATTAACACTTTTCTTCTAAAAAAGTATCAAAAGTCCTTCTTCCTAATGGAACCCCTTTCAATTTTATATTCCAAATGAAAACTATAACTATAAAGTTTTTTAACTATAAAGTTAAAAACTGTTTCATCAGGCAAAATTATGCAACTTTTTTTGGTATTTTTTAGTACACAACTTGTTTCAAACAATTCACTGCAACAGTGTTCAACCTTTAACCTACTCTAGTTCCTCATGTTATTTTGAGTTTTCCTACATTCAATAGAACATATTAATTTTCCATATACCAATTTATAACCCAAAATATCAGATTTAACTATGAGAAGCATAAATGTATACTCACGACTGACAATAAGCAAGACGCAAAATAAAATGAGAAATATGATCTCTTCTTCTTGGTTCATATTCATCTTCTAAGTTTTCCTTAAAAATAATGACACATGACATCAGGACTCACTGCTTTTGTTCTAACTCAGTGGACCCCCAAACCACCCCCACAAACAACTGCAATGTCTGGAGACATTTTTGGTTGTCACAACTGGGAGATGCTACAGGTATCCAATGGATAGAGGCCCGAGATGCTGCTAACATTCTACAATGCACAGGACAGCGCCTAAGACAAAGAATTATCTGACCCAAAATGTCGAAAGTGTGAAGGATGAAGTATCTGCTCTGATTTATAAGCATGTCTTCACATGTATTTTTTCTCCTTCGTCACCAGAGCTAGAGTAAGAGCTCAGACCCAGGTAGTGCCCTCTGTGGGTGATCTTTGGCTCTGTGTCTCTTATTCCTCTTGGAGCTAGTTTTCACACTCATTGTCCTCGATCCCCTTTATAGAAGCAAACTGTGGTATTAAGTTCCAAGAAGTTATCTGACTGAACTGGTCCAGTCTGCTGTGAGAAGAGGGTCCAATGAAAAAGTGTAATGAGAAGTACCCCTGAATGTAGATGCCCCTAAAGCATCACCACTGGTTTTTCTTTCCATGAAACATAATAAAGTCAGCCATTTATTAAGGAAAATAAATAAATAATGACACAAATAAAATAAATGCATTACGACGGTAAGAGGTATGAAAAAATACTGAGTCAGCATAAGCCAATGGTAAAGCAAAAGTCCCAAAAACACATTTCTTAAAATGATTTTCAGGATAATAATCATTTTACTTAAGCGATCAATCAAGGGAAACTGAGAGCTCATCCAGCAAAACCCCCCTGGGTTTGGACCCCACTATTATCTTCCTATCAACCCCTCTCTTTTAACTTTCTTTTTTATCCAGTCCATACCCAAGTACCACCACTTCAGCTACTTCTTACATCAACCCTCAATTTCTTTAATTTGCCAATTTGTCAAAACCTAGATTCTAAATTAATCTACAGCTACACTCCACAGTACTATTTCCAAAATGCTGAGTACCTTTGGAGAAAAAAATCCACAACGATGGGTATCTGGAGTATAAAATTCCACAGCTTCTAACCTCAACTGGACCGTTGCCAATACCGAGGAATCTTTATTCAAGTCCAAAATAGTTAGAGCAAACATGTCTTAAGCATTCTCTAGGTACCAAGCACTGCTTTAAGCATTTTTAATGAATTAACCATTGTAAAAACCCTATGAAGTAGGCACTATTATACCCTTATCTCAAAGATGAGGAAACTGAGGTATAGAGAAGTCATAATTTGTTTAGGATCACAAATCTTATAAATAGCAGAGCTGGAATTTGACACATAATCATCTCCTTCCTCACTTCTTAGAAAAGCTGTTTCTATCCTCACTTAGAAAAGCTGTTTCTAGCCTCTACCACAGCACCTTACCCTTCTCAAAAGATGACTTCATCTACTTTACAGAAAATAAAGGCCACCAGGCAGACTCCTTCAGCCCCAAGCTTCTGCATCCACATGTTGTGTTGCCTTCCCTTCCATCTCTGCAGACAAAGCATTTCTCCTCCCTCTTATTAAAGCTAATCCCTACACCTAAACCCTCCTACCCACTTGCTCTTGCCTCTTAAGAACCCTGATTCATCAAATATTCTCTCAAGGTATCTTCAAGCTCCCAGCCTCTATTCTAGACCTTTCTGCTCAGCTTATAAATGTGTTTAAGTACCTCCTGTCATATACATGTCTGAATGTATCTTTTCTTTTCCTTAAAACATCCTCTATATTCTTCCCTATTTCTCCCCCATCTTTTCTGCTAAACATCTTAAATTTTGAGTACATATTCGATATCCACCTTTCCACCTCCCTCCTCCAACCATGGTCATTGTTCTAGTTTCTGCCCCTGTGTACAATGGCCCTCCCAGCTGCTCAGTACAATGGACACTGTACGACTCATCTTAAGTAATGTACCTTAAGCTCCTGAAACTGTTGTGGTTAAGAGTAGTACCTCCACAGAAACAAAAGGCCCAGATTAGAATCTTGGCTCTACCATTTACCATCTTATGGACTTGGGCAACTTACTCAGCCTATCAATAAACAATACAGTTCGTCATCTATAAAATAGGCATGCTAATAATACCAACCTCATAAGACTGCTGTATGGATCACATAGATTAATATACAAGGGTACTTCAAAAAGTTTGTGGAAAATAGAATTAAGAGATAATACTAAATCTTTCCATGAACTTTTTGAAGTTCCCATTTATGTAATACACTTAAAACAAAGTCTGGAATATAGTAAGAATAATATAAATGCATGCTGTTGTTATCCTGTATTATTATTATTAATATCATATCATTATTACTGAAATTCCAGCCTTCCATGGCTCCTATGACACTACTATCCCGGTTCATCTCCTACTTCCCAGACTCCTCCCATTCCACTTCAACTTAAATACTGGTATTTCCTCATGTCCTGTCCTCCACCATCTTCTCTTCTCACTCAAATATTTTCCGAGGGTGCTCTTACCTTCTCCTGATGATTCTAACCTTCCCCTAATCCTACACTCCCACTATAAGTCTGTCTTCTGAGTCCAGACTTATATATCCACTTGTCCACTTGACATCTCCACAGGCACCTCAAATTCATGTCTTCCAGCCTTCCATGGCTCCTATGACACTACTATCCCGGTTCATCTCCTACTTCCCAGACTCCTCCCATTCTACTTCAACTTAAATACTGGTATTTCCTCATGTCCTGTCCTCCACCATCTTCTCTTCTCACTCAAATATTTTCCAAGGGTGCTCTTACCTTCTCCTGATGATTCTAACCTTCCCCTAATCCTACACTCCCACTATAAGTCTGTCTTCTAAGTCCAGACTTATATATCCACTTGTCCACTTGACATCTCCACAGGCACCTCAAATTCATGTCTAGAACTAAATTCAACATCTTCCTTCCAAGACTTGCTTCTCCTCCTGAATATCACTTCTCAAAATATCACCACCATCCAGTTAATTGTCCTAACTAGAAACCTGGGTGTTATTTGTAACTCTTTTCTCTCCTTTCCCCCTGCAACCAGTCAATAAAATCTTTTTGATTCTACCTTCTTAATATCTCTTCAGTCAGTCCCCTTCTCTCATTTAATTCAGATTCTCATCATCTCCAGGCTCCTAACTGGTTTCTCTATCAGACATGACCCTGTCAATCTGCTGCTGGCCGTCATCTTCCCAAAATAAAAATCTAATCACATGTCAAAATGCAGTTCCAACACTACCTTCTCTGGAAACCCTTCCCAAACCTCCCCAATCTGAGCTGGGTAATTATATGTGCTCTTGGAGTTCCTGGAGCACACAAACAATACAGCATTCATCATCCTATATTGCACAAGATGCATTAGACAATATCTGGAGACGTCTAGTGGGTAAAAGCCGCAGATGCCACCAATCATCATACAATGCACAAGACAGTCCCTGCAACAAGGAATTATTAGGCCCAAAATGATGATACTCCTGAGGCTAAGAAACCATGCCATATTATGATCATCTAACTACATGTCAATCATCCCTGGTAGACTATAGGTACCTTCAGGCAGAGTCTATGCTGCATTAGTCTTTATATAAGCCCTGTGCCTAATACAAGACCTTTCCTACAACTGATACTCAGTACATACAAACTGAAGGAACTCTTTTCCTCTTTTACTTACTCTGAAGGAAAACTTGAGTTTTCGAATTTCAGCCTCCAACTTACTCTGGTATTCCTCGGTTCCTTTCACATAGCTCACACCAAGATTTTCAACTGATTTTAGCACTGAAAAAAAAAAAGGAAAAGAAAAAGACATAAATGCAAGGTAATTTTTAAAAACTAAATCCGAGACAAAAACCTATGGATAACAATTCCCTAGTAATTTGTTTACAGAACATGACAAGTTACAATAGTTTTATTTTCTGCAAGTACCTTTTATAAACTATATGTTTGTAAGAGGATAATGTCTATCTATGTGCAGAAAATATCCATGTCCAACAGCATAATCTAATACCAGAGATTCTCAACCAGGGAAGAGGAAAGGATGGTGAATAATCACTGCTGGACTGAGCCACTGTTGTTGAAAATGGAAAAGTGTCCGTATGGGGAAAAAACTAAGCACCCTTTGTTTGCTTCCTTGATGTGGAACTGCCTGTTGGTCAGTCTGCTTCATTTACTCATCAGAAAGACAACAGCCCTTCCTTTCCTGATGAAGCAAAGGAGATGACACAATAGTGAAAGAGGGCCATCCAATCATCCAAATGATCCATCCTGAATAGATGCCACCTATTGTTCAGGGGTTCCTGAAGCCCTTTATCAATCCTTCCTCAGTCGAATTCTTCTCTTGAGGTGTTTTTGAGATCAAGAATGAAAAACAGGGGCTGGCTGCTTAGCTCAGTTGGTTATAGAGTATGGTGTTGTAACACCAAGGTCAGAGGTTGCGATCCCCATACAGGCCAGCCACAAAAAAAAAAAAAAAAAAAAAAGAAAGGAAGAAAGAAAACCTTCTAAACTGCCTCCTGAACATAAATCCATGTCCCAAAGGTACCTCCGTATTATGGTATCCATACCAAACTAATCATCTTCCCCTCATTTCTCCTGTTCCTACTATCCCCATCTCCACCAGCAGAGCTTCTATCCACCAGATCATCCAAGCAGGAACTTCAGCCACTCCATACCTGCTCCCTCAGCTCCCTCACATCTAACAGTCACCAAATCCACTCAATAATACCTCCTCAGTGTCCCTTAAATCTCTCCCTGTCATTGTCACTAAATTAGTTCAGGTCCTTATCATTTCACCTAAGTACCAAACCCAAGAGATACCTTTCAATCATCATCTTAATTCCTATGAAGCATCTCATACTGTTAAGCTTTCTAAAACGCTTTTCTCCCTTGCCTTCACTCTTTTATTCAATGAACAAGCACTGAGTACTTCTTTATATTAACAGTTCTTACTCTCCTCTATGAATGATTAACGGTATTTCACCTTTCCCAATTTTCTCACAAGGACATCCTGTATTATAAACTCTTAAGACAGTGCTAGTATTTCTATTTCATTTCATATCTAGCTCATTCCTTCCTTCCGTCAACACATGGAAGATAAGCAGGCCCCCAGGACAGTGGCCGCATCCTTCTTACACCCCAATATTAACACATTAGCATGGCACAAAATGCCCTTGGTTATCCAAACTTCTCCATCCACCCTGAACTTGTCACTGTTCCCTCAAACGTGACATTCTCTTTCATGCCTCCAAGACTTTGTATAGGCCATTATCTCAGCTTGGAAAATACTTCACTTCTTCTGTGTTAGAAAATTTCTATTCACACTTCAAAGTCAAGATAACTTTATTATTATTATTATTATTATTATTTTTGTTTTATCATTATACAACGTAAACATTTTTTGTGGCCCTTTACCAATTTCTCCCTAACTCTTTTTTTGGGGGGCAGCTGGAGGGTTTGGGGATCCAAACCCTTGACCTCAGAGTTAACACTGTGTTCTAACCAACTGAGTTAACTGGCCAGCCCATATGATATGATCACATTTCAACTTCTCTAAGAATGTTTACTTAATCAGATTGAATCAGTCACTCCCATTTCTATGCTTCAACAGCATTACTATTTACTTCTACTGAAGCAATTAAAATACTAAATTATGACTCATTTTGGAAGTCTGACTCCATGTATTAGATATGCAGCTTCAACAAAGAATTACATCATTCATCTCAAAATCCCCGCCACCTAGAACATAGTGGCACTCAATAAATATGCGTTGTACAATAAATAAATGAATGAGTAGCAAACCCTCAATAGCAAATCCTCAATATTTGCTGAATGGATTTCTGAACGAAAAAAATAAATTATCTTCATTCATTCCCACAAAGTATAAGTGATCTTCTCAAGAATACATACATTCCAATTTAAATGTCACTTACATTTAACTCTAGCAATAGCCAAGTTTTCAAACTCTATCAAAGATATGTTTTCAGAAGGTGGCTGCAAGTAAAATTGAAGGCTGTGAGGGTAGCAAGCATTCCTCTGGTCACCTGCCAACCTAAGCTTCCTCCGATTTCCTCCAGTAAACTGCATCTTGATCACCTGGGAAGGAAGTACACGACAAGGTTAAAGTGATGGAAATTAGAGTTGAAAAGAAAACAACAATCAAAAAACACAAAAAATAATTCCATATACACAGGGGGAAAAAATATTAAAGTTGAAGGCATGCACAAAATGTTAGCAGTGGTTATCCCTGGGTAATGTCTTTCTGTATTTCCCAGATTTTATACAATACACCTGTAATAATTTTGTAATGGGGTGGAGGTGCTAGAGGAGATGCAGGTGGTGGTCCTAACTTTCAGCAACATGAAAGGTGATGCTGCCTGCTCACTACAGACCTGTGTGTCATCGCCCTTAGATCTCTGCAATCCCAAGAGTTAAGACGAGATTGTATGTGGGCTGCAGTCCCGGGCTTGGAGGAAAGAGCCGTAGGTTCTGGCTAGAGGAGAGACAATGGACTGGGTACAGTTCCTCACTTCCTATCTTATGACCCTGAGAAACAGAACTGTCTTTTGAATCCAGTCTTTCGGAAATCCTTTTTGGGTGCATTCATGGTGTCTTATTATTCCCAACCACGATCCTCCCCAACTCCTCTCTGGCACCCGGGTCTCTGCCCCAACCAACCAACCAACCAAAACTCCCATCCCGCAAAGTCAATACTTCTCCTACCGCCCGCAAAGGGATCTCCCTTTTTTTCTCGACTTGCAACCTTCAAAACCAGGATTGCTCTCCGCCTTAAATCTGCAGTGGTTTCTCTCGCCGGCAAGCACCCAAACCCCAGAAAACACAGACGCTGACAGCCGCTTTTCCGGGTGGCGGGAAATTTCACATGGAACCGGAAGCGGAAGCAACTGACACAGAAGACCCGCCCTCCCAGCGTCTCGCCCACCCAGCACGGGCCCTGCGCATGCTCAGCGGGGTGCGTCTGGGGACTCAGGGCGTTTCATCCACTTTGCGAGCTTAAAAAATTTTGAATACGAGTTTCGGGGATTTGGTTTTTTGTTTGTTTTCAGATTTTAAGCTGTACCTCCTGTATGTGGAGTCGGTAGCTCTTGACGGTTGAAACGAGGGTGCTGGAATGCTGACGGCAAAAATTTCCACATGCCCAGGATTGAACCAATGTAACTTCGTTTGGGGACGCTAACAAAGCCTCCATAAACTGAGGAAAATGTGGCGCTTTGACCCGCAGGGCTGGCACGAATCACCTTTGACCTGGGAAAGAAATGGAGAAAGAACAGACACTGAGGTCCTTTTTGCACCTGGCTCACTATTCAGGGCTCTTTTTCCTCGTTTAATCTCTCAGGGGCCCTATATATGATAGGTGGTATTACCCCTATTTTGCAGATGAGAAAACAGAAGCTAAAAAAGTCTTAGTTTGCCCATCCGCGTACAATACACATCTTGGTTTTTCTGTTGAACGGGCACTTTCCTCCCCAGCCCCCAGCAAAACATCTGGAATGAACTAGAATGAGTGAATGAATGCACACTCTCAGAAATCGCTCCGGCGTCTACAGGAATTAGGAGAGATCGGGCTCGTGGCAGGGGCGGGAGGTTAGGGTCGAAGAGATGGAAGTGCTGGGGAGAAAGTGGATGCGCCGCTTACTTGACCAGATGTCCGACTGCAGACTCAGAAGCCTCCAAACCACACTAGCTTTCTGGCTGCTGTCTGGAGGGTTTTCAAGAGCTGGAAATAAACTTCACTTGTGTCCTCTAGGAGGCGTGTCTCGCTTACAAAAGTGGTGGAGGGAGGCTCTGGTGAAGGTATGATTGGAGATTTGAAATGTTCAGGTTTTCATAAATGTAAAGTGTATTGAAACACTATCAAGCTCCAAAGCACCTACTCAGCAAAGACTCAACTGTGCCTGGCACTGACTTCGAACCAGGACCTGTTCTAAGCGGTTTACGTATCAATTCATTTTATTCTCATAATCAAAGGAGGTAGGGTCTGTTATTTTAACCCTATCTTACAGATAAGGAAACTGAAGAACAGAGAAGTGACTTCAGAAGGTCACTTAGTAAATGTAGAGCCAGGTTCGAGCCCAGGCAAACTGTCTCCAGGCCTCACAGTACTAACCACCACACTAATATGACAGCAGCTTCACCGTATTTCCTTCCTCGATGCATCATACACATAACTAACATCACATGGTCCAAAGAGACACGTTCAGGCAGCATGTGAACTGCCTGAAGAAACCTGGAGCACAGACCACGACAACAATTACATAAATATCTCATCTCTGGGTAGAGAAGGAATTTAAATATAATAAATTACACTGAAAAAAGATCTAAAGATTTGACTATAAAAATATAAAATTGTGCATCTAAAGAAACTCAGAAAATTATTTTGCAGTCACCAAACTGGGGGAAAGGTTTACTGTAAATATAACATCAAAAAGGTTAATACCATAAGGATACGAAGGACTTAGGCCAATTCATTAGAAAAACATCCTAAGACACAAACAGAAAAGTGGGAAAAGAGGAACAGATAAGTCATAGACAAAATAACTAATGATAAATTATTTAAAATGTTTATCATTGGCAGTAAAGAATTTTTTTCTAGCAAAAGTGGCAAAGATTTCACAATGAAAATATTCAGTGTTACTCCTCATTTAAATCCCAGTGCTCTTTATGATTCCCATATGGTGTAAGTCTTTCTCTAGTTATATCCCTCCACTACAGAAGTTCTTAATTTGGGGGGAACATGAACCACTGGACAATTTGATGACAGCTGTCCTCAGAAAAATGCCCCTGCACACCAATTTTGTACACTGTTTCAAGAGGTTTGTGACCACCACACTACTAGATTTTAAACTCTTTTTGGACAGGCCCTTTTGTTTGTCTTTGTGATCCTTAAAGTACCTACCACAATATCTTCCAAATTAAAAGATGAAGTACCCAATGTCGTTTTTATGATGAGCTCAGAGAGAACTGGGAAAATACATTCGTGTCTAACATTACCAATATCTTACTAACCATGTCACATAGTAGCTGCCTTTCCAACATATTAAAAACCTATTTTAAGCCTCAGGGAACAAAATAGCTTGTGTCTGTCAGCTATTCCAGCATCTTTCTTGTTTTCTAATGCCACAATTTTGGTCACTACCTTATTGTGAAGAGTGTTTTCTGTATCCAGAGGCAATTACAATACAAATCTACATACTTATCACAGAAGCAACAATGCACAATAATGTTGTACATTTCAGTAGCCATGTTCAGTAAATCACTGTGAGCTCTTTCATGTATTCATCAACAAAAACAGATTGACACAACGCTCAGCCCTGGCAATCAAGATGCATGTAAGTTACAGACCTTAACCACATAATCAGGGGAAGGAAAACATAACCACATAATTTCTACTTCCATTGAGCCATAAGCATCCCAAACACAGAGACGACCGTGTCATTCATCTTTGTAACCCCATTGTCTGACAGTCAATAGGCCCTCAACAAATATTTATGAGACTGAATTGATGAATACTGTGAGAGATGTATGAAAAAAGTGCTGGGTTCAGCTTCACATTAAACAGATGGTTTGAATCAAATGTGACTCCAACCTATAAAACCTCAAGTCCTCATCTGAAAACTTTATACACATTCTTTCCAGAATGACTTGGCTCCCCAGTTTAGACTGTAATAAAGCAGAGTACCTTCTCTGGCATAATTTCCATGAATCGTCACTGCTTAATTCAGTGCCTGCCCTGGACATTACCCAGCTGCAAACAGACAGTCCCGGGGGCATTCACCTTTAGATGACTCCATAGCTCCAGGACTTCTCTCTATAGTATGTCACAATTACAGCTGAGATTTTTGTTGCCATGCTTGGTAAATCAAAGTTAGTATGCATTCTTCCCCCGTACAGGGTGTGTCGCCCTAAAAACCAAAGGCATGGTAAGTTTCTTTACCGAGTAAACATGCCATAAACTCTAGGTCCTGCCAGCTCTGCTTGCCACGGAAAGCAGAGGAACAGGAGGCAGTTCCAACAAGATAGCTGACCCAGGAAAACTAATGCAAAGTTAGCCAACCTCTGGTCCTTCCACTTTCCCCATTTTACCGCCTGCTTCTGGGAGTTGGCTAACCTAAAGAGAGTACATCATTCTTTTTCCCTTTGCTTAGACTGCTTTTATTAGTCTAGCATCAAGGAGCAAGAGAACTAGAGAGAAAGCATTCTTTTAAAGGGTAGTACAAGGAGGGAGGACTACCCTTCCATATATCAACATTATTTGATTTGTTCCAGAAATATTAAGCACGTAGTAACTGTCAGATAATGCTGGGGGAACAAGAGTGATGAAAGGGCCAAAAATCCCTGCCCTCATAAACTTTATATTCTAGTGGGAAAGAGAGACAGCAAACAAGAAAAATACACATATTACTTTCAGATAATAACTGCTAAGCAGAAAAACTAAACCGCAGAAGGAAGATATAAAGTTTTTGGAAGAGGCACTGAAATTTTAGAAAGGGTGTCCAGGAAGGTCTGGCTAAGATCATGACCATGAAGCAGAAACCAGAAGAAAATTAAGGATTTAATCATGTGTATCTTTAGGAGAATAGCATTGCAGGTAGATGGAAAGCTAGTATTTAAGACAATGTGATATTGTATATTCATGGTATATTCAATGTGATATTCATAGTAGCAGAAACCAGAAGAAAATTAAGGATTTAATCATGTGTATCTTTAGGAGAATAGCATTGCAGGTAGATGGAAAACTAGTATTTAAGACAATGTGATATTGTATATTCATGGTATATTCAATGTGATATTCATAGTATTTGAGACAATGTGATATTGGCATGGGAATAGACAAAGCAACCAATGGGACGGAATAGAGAACCCAGAAATGGACTCACATCTATGAAGAAACCTAGCACGTGACAGATTCACTGTACAAATCAGTGGAGAAAAGATGGACAATTCTAAATGGTACTGGGACAATTTGCTCTCTATAAGGTGGGGGCGGGGCTATTTCCTACCTCCCATTAAATGAAGAAACCTAGCACGTGACAGATTCACTGTACAAATCAGTGGAGAAAAGATGGACAATTCTATATGGTACTGGGACAATTTGCTCTCTATAAGGTGGGGGCGGGGCTATTTCCTACCTCCCATTATATGTAAAAATCAATTACGGATGACTTAAAGACTTACATGTGGAAGGCAAAACCTTAAGAATTTAGAACAAATTTATAAATGGTCTTTGTGGTATTGATGTAGCAAAGAATTTCTTAAAGAAAACATTAAAAAAAAACACAAGCAGTTCTGAATATAGATAGTGGTGATGGCTGCACAATAATGAGAATGTACTTAATGCCACTGAACTGTACACTTAAAATGGTTATAGTGATAAATTTTGTGTTACATATATTTTAACCACAATTTTTTTAAAGTGCAAGCTAAAAGGGAAATACTGATAATTTTAACTTCATTAAAATTAAGAACTTAAGTGTTTAAAGTACATAAACATATACTTTTTTAATGACCAAAAACTGAGGAAAGATGTAATTAAGGATTATTACCAGAATATAATAAATATGAAAAAATAAAAACACAATTTTAAAAAAAAGGAAAAAACCTGAACAGGCATTTCACAACAGAGGAAACATAAATGAACAATAAACACATGAAAATATATTTGACTACATTAGTAATTGGAGAAACGCAAATTAAAACCACAATGAGATAATATCCTACACCCACCAAATGGACAAAAAAATTTAAGTTTGAAAACATGAAGTGTCGACAAAGA